CTGTAGGGTGGGGCTCAAAGGAGTCAGTGTGCTAAAATTTCTTCATTTTCCTTGTTAAGAATCAGAGGTGCTAGTTTCAAATCCTTTTTAGTCTGAAATCTGTATGCTAGATATTGAGTAAGGTGGTTTTATTGTTTTTTGTCACTTTGAATAATATTTCTGTTCATGTTAAAAACAAAATCAACTCTCTGTATAAATATATCAGGTGACCGTTAAGGCCCATGGGCCTCTTGTTTTAGTATACAATGAATCAAAAGAAAATGTGTTTCTCTTTCTAAAACAGCCACAAAATTGGGGGTCAGTGTGCTTCTTTTTTTGTCCCATTATTATTTGTGTTATTTTTCACCTTTTTTGGGGACAAAAATCAAAAGTGCTTCAGTTACCCTAATATGTAAAAAAAAGTATCAATAACATATAACTTTCCACTTTTTTGCATATTATTTTAATCATATTGAACATTATAAAGTTGTACAGCAAAATTGAACCTGCTACAATTAAAAATGGTGACAAAATGACAATTTAAGTGATCAATCTAGTGTCAAAAAAGGTGAAATTTTGGCCCTTTGTGAAGCGCAAGAAATTCCCTTTTTCAAAATGGCTGCCAAATTGGTCATTTTTAAAATTCTTGTAAAAAATGTTCTACACACAACAGACATCTATTTTTTTTTACATGTTTTTCAGATGTGTGTTTGCTATTATACCTATCATAATTTGTTAAATATTACAAAAACCCGTTACACCAGATCAAAACGAGACTTGAACGAGACTGAAACCTCGGAAGAGTACATCCTTAAGGCCCTTTGGCCTCCTGTTTTAAAAGAAATGTTAAACTAAGGTGATTCTGGAAAGTTTTAAAGAAAATCCTACTCTTCTAGATTAGCTATTGTTAATTTTCGTAATTCATTGTCTAACGTAACATATTTCTTTAAAAGTTATTAGATCTAGGTAATCAGTGTTTTGCTAATGTATGTATTTTGTGGAAGGTACCATAGTACCTTTGGAATGATGTATTGTAGTTATGTATTTTCTGTCATATTTATATTTTTTATTTTTTTTATTTTTTTACACCTTTCCCCCTTTTTTATTTTTTGTTTGAATTTCATTGCGTGTGTTATGTTGTTTTTTTTTATATATTTTTACCTACACATTATTTAATTTATTATTATTTATTTACAGTTAATTTGTTTGCTATGCCTTAAGTTGGCATGTCATCACATGCTATCCACATTTAGATTGCAGATTAACATAATACAATCTGTGCATTGACAATTAGTCAAGATTATTAAAAAATTTCATTGCATATAATTCCCCGAACCCAAAAGCTATATTAGAGCTTTATAAATGCTGCTAGGGTAACATGGTTTCTTAATAGAACAGCGCTGTTTTAAAAGAAATTTCAACTGCTTTGTTCATTAGCTAACATCAAATGTATGTTTCTGTTTAAATGTTTGGAATATATACTGTAGTTATCCAGATATTTAAAACGTATTTTCAAATGTATTTGACATCCGATCACCTGAAATTATTTCAAGTTTATTATATAATGTTTTTAAAACCAGTCCTCAGCAAACAGGTCCACAGAATCAAAGTAAACATAATAATCACGCAGACTTTATCTATATACTGGGTTATAGCATACTCCACATCAAACATAACACCTATGTTTAAGTAAACATAATAATCATGCAGACTTTATCTATATACTGGGTTATAGCATCCTCTACATCAAACATAACACCTATCTTTTAGGAAACATAATAATCACTCAGACTTTATCTATATACTGGGTTATAGCATACTCCACATCAAACATAACACCTATGTTTAAGTAAACATAATAATCATGCAGACTTTATCTATATACTGGGTTATAGCATCCTCTACATCAAACATAACACCTATCTTTTAGGAAACATAATAATCACTCAGACTTTATCTATATACTGGGTTATAGCATACTCCACATCAAACATAACACCTATGTTTAAGTAAACATAATAATCACGCAGACTTTATCTATAAACTCGGTTATAGCATCCTGCACATCAAACATAACACCTATCTTTAAGTTAACATAATAATCACGCAGACTTTATCTTATATAATGTTTTTAAAACCAGTCCTCAGCAAACAGGTCTACAGAATCAAAGTAAACATAATAATCACGCAGACTTTATCCATATACTGGGTTATAGCATCCTCCACATCAAACATAACAACTATCTTTAAGTAAACATAATAATCACGCAGACTTTATCTTATATAATGTTTTTAAAACCAGTCCTCAGCAAACAGGTCTACAGAATCAAAGTAAACATAATAATCACGCAGACTTTATCCATATACTGGGTTATAGCATCCTCCACATCAAACATAACAGCTATCTTTAAGTAGACATAATAATCACGCAGACTTTATCTATATATTCGGTTATAGCATCCTCTACATCAAACATAACACCTATCTATAAGGAAACATAATAATCACGCAGACTTTATCCATATACTGGGTTATAGCATCCTCCACATCAAACATAACCCCTATCTTTAAGTAAACATAATAATCACGCAGACTTTATCCATATACTGGGTTATAGCATCCTCCACATCAAACATAACCCCTATCTTTAAGTTAACATAATAATCACGCAGACTTTATCTATAAACTCGGTTATAGCATCCTGCACATCAAACATAACACCTATCTTTAAGTTAACATAATAATCACGCAGACTTTATCTTATATAATGTTTTTAAAACCAGTCCTCAGCAAACAGGTCCACAGAATCAAAGTAAACATAATAATCACGCAGACTTTATCTATATACACGGTTAAAGCATCCTCCACATCAAACATAACACCTATGTTTAAGTAAACATAATAATCACGCAGACTTTATCCATATACTGGGTTATAGCATCCTCCACATCAAACATAACCCCTATCTTTAAGTAAACATAATAATCACGCAGACTTTATCTTATATAATGTTTTTAAAACCAGTCCTCAGCAAACAGGTCTACAGAATCAAAGTAAACATAATAATCATGCAGACTTTATCTATATACTGGGTTATAGCATACTCCACATCAAACATAACACCTATGTTTAAGTAAACATAATAATCATGCAGACTTTATCTATATACTGGGTTATAGCATCCTCCACATCAAACATAACAGCTATCTTTAAGTAGACATAATAATCACGCAGACTTTATCTATAAACTCGGTTATAGCATCCTGCACATCAAACATAACACCTATCTTTAAGTTAACATAATAATCACGCAGACTTTATCTATAAACTCGGTTATAGCATCCTGCACATCAAACATAACACCTATCTTTAAGTAAACATAATAATCACGCATACTTTATCTATATACTGGGTTATAGCATCCTCTACATCAAACATAACACCTATCTATAAGTAAACATAATAATCACGCAGACTTTATCTTATATAATGTTTTTAAAACCAGTCCTCAGCAAACAGGTCTACAGAATCAAAGTAAACATAATAATCACGCAGACTTTATCTTATATAATGTTTTTAAAACCAGTCCTCAGCAAACAGGTCTACAGAATCAAAGTAAACATAATAATCACGCATACTTTATCTATATACTGGGTTATAGCATCCTCCACATCAAACATAACAACTATCTTTAAGTAAACATAATAATCACGCATACTTTATCTATATACTCGGTTATAGCATCCTCCACAACAAACATAACACCTATCTTTAAGTAAACATAAATAATCACGCAGACTTTATCTATATACACGGTTAAAGCATCCTCCACATCAAACATAACACCTATCTATAAGGAAACATAATAATCACGCAGACTTTATCCATATACTGGGTTATAGCATCCTCCACATCAAACATAACAGCTATCTTTAAGTAGACATAATAATCACGCAGACTTTATCTATATATTCGGTTATAGCATCCTCTACATCAAACATAACACCTATCTTTAAGTTAACATAATAATCACGCAGACTTTATCTATATACGGGGTTATAGCATCCTCCACATCAAACATAACCCCTATCTTTAAGTTAACATAATAATCACGCAGACTTTATCTTATATAATGTTTTTAAAACCAGTCCTCAGCAAACAGGTCCACAGAATCAAAGTAAACATAATAATCATGCAGACTTTATCTATATACTCGGTTATAGAATCCTCCACATCAAACATAACACCTATGTTTAAGTAAACATAATAATCATGCAGACTTTATCTATATACTCGGTTATAGCATTCTCCACATCAAACATAACACCTATCTTTAAGTTAACATAATAATCACGCAGACTTTATCTATATACGGGGTTATAGCATCCTCCACATCAAACATAACACCTATCTTTAAGTAACATTGCATGCTCTTTATGAAGAAATGTTATTCTTATAAATGTTTGAACTGTCTTATTTATATATTGTTCATAAGATGAAGGTTTTTTTGCTGGTTCAAATCCTAATGTATGTACAAATACATTTTGAATTTCAAACTTAAATCAGTTTTTCACTTACAATCATGACCAAAAGAAAAAGGGGAAAACAACTCACAATTGTTATTTCTCTTTCTCTCTCTCTTTCTTTTTGCAAAGAAATAAAGGGAAAATTGTTTCAAGCAAAAAAAACAAATCTTGTATTTATACATGCACATACTCTTCACTTAAGCTGTGAGATTTCCTAGTTTGTCTATTGATAGGCAAACCCCTATATCTTAACATGTCAGTGTCATTGATGTCACAATATAAGTTGATGTTGAATGCATTATCATGCTAATAGCATATTCAGGTTTTTTCAACCAAAATAACAGTCCAGCAGTAATAGTGAACGGGTCAATAATGTTTTAGAAACCGAGCTGTATAATTAACAAGTTCCTTTTCAGACTTAAAATCATGTAGACCTCTTCATACATGGATTGGAAGATATTGTTTGAAAACCAGGAAAAAATCCACTAATAAGGAGATTTTTGAAACACATTAATAATATCTATTTTATTTTAAATTTCAAATTTTACTTGAAAAAATTAAATTAACATTATTTTATAATCATAAATACTAAGTGAATCTTTCTGGTGTACAGACGGACTCTTGTAACTCGGATCCAATGAATGTTTGATATGACCAGTTGTATTTAATATCCTGTACTGATGTTTATATATTTTATCTATATAAAATAAGATGTAAATATTTGAAATGTTCCTTTATAACATGTTGATTCAATGTAATTTAAGGTTTGAGGAAGATTAATTGTTAACCACAGGAAAAGAAATTTAAAAGTGACCTTAGATTTTTTCATAAACTTTTCAGTAGTTTACACAATGCTCTTGTATACAATACAAAAATTATAAGTTTTAGTCTGCGACAGGATGAAAATTTCTCAATTAAATGCAGATGTGAACGACTCAAGCAAAAAGAAACCTGCCATAATTCAGTAAATTCATTAGTTCACAGTGAAATATTAAGTTTAGATACGTCGGTTTGAACAGAGATAGAATAAGTTGGTGTCTGGATCAATCAGTCAAACAGAAATTGTCATTCAAATTTTCTTCATCATAAATATCAAGAAACATTTCTCCATGATTATTCTAGTGCTCCACTCTGAGTTGCTTCTGTAACTTCGAAATTCTGTGTTTCTGTGTATAAAACGGTCAATCAGAATTTGGTAAAATAGCTAATCTACTGTTACTTTTCCATAAAGGGTAGGTATGATGATCAAACATTTCTGAGATTTAATGGAAAGACTGACATTATGTTAGAACCTTTACAATGAGAAGCACAGGCATTGAGTAAGGGGAGATAATTTGTGTGTTTTACAGTATGTGGCCACCTAGAGGTGCTGGAGATTTTACTGGAGAACGGAGCAGATGTGTCGCGGGCAGACAGTCACGAGGCTTTCCCTATACACTATGCGGCCCAGATGAATGGCAAGGAGAATGGTCACACTGATCCGAAGATTGGCGAGAAAGTGCTCAAAAAACTTGTTGACAATGGTGTGCCAACAGATGTCCTCGACAAAGATGGTCGCCAGCCTTTACTATGGGCAGCTAGTGCTGGTAATTTGTTGGTGTCTGAGTTCAGATTGTATAAGCAAATTGTTTTAGGTGTTTTAGATTTTGGTCGAGTGTCTTTTTTTATTCAAATTTCAATGTCAGTTTATTAAAATTATGATAGAATATTATCAATATTTGTTTTTAATTATAGGTCCAGTGTCTGTTTTATTTAAATTTTAATGTCTGAGTATTAAGATTATGATATCATATTTTTGGTATTTGTTTTCAATAGTGTGTATGGTTCATAATGTTGTAAAAATTGAAAGTTTAAGGTGAATTTTGGGTGACATTTTAATTAAAACAGCTGTAAATGGTGATACCAGTATTGCAAATTATTTGAAAGCTGCCATATATGGTCTATTTGAGTTAGCCTACAATATGTGTCTGAAAATTACAATGCTAACAAAATGTGTATGTTTCAGGTAACTCCGAGTCCTGTAAATTGTTAGTGAAAGCAGGCGCTGATGTAAACGCTATAGACAAGGATGGACTGTCAGGTAAGTTCTGCAATCAGTTTATAAGGATTGCTGACTACCATAAAATGAACTTTGAATATTGAAATAACTAATTGTGTAGAAAAACATTACTTGCATATAAATGATAGGAAAAATGATTCAAGAGTTCCAAAAAAATAAATAAAGGAGATTTTTAATTTTTAGTACAATGTGTTGCTAAACAATGTAAATTAAATTAGAATGTTTTTACTGCAGTAGTGGCATTAGACATTACAAAAGCAGAGTTCAACAAGAGGGAATGCCATAATTTTGTGTTTAGATTATGTAAGATATATTTCAAACTGTTGTTGTAAACTGTTGGTCCTTTTGTTTTCAGCTCTCCATTGTGCAGCATCGCGTGGTCATGTCAAGTGTATAGAGACACTGAAAAACCTGGGGGCCAATGTAGACCTGGCCGACAAAAACAACTGTACAGCACTGTTCTATGCCATCACACTGGGAAACAAAGAATGTACCAAGGCCCTCCTCAAATTTGGTTCCAACCCAAATCACCAGGATAACCGCGGTCGAACGTAAGTTTGCACTTTAAGGCCATGCAGACCTCTAGGGAGGACAAGTGAGGCCATTGATTGGTGCAAATAAAGGCTATAATAGTATGCTATATAAGTATAATAGGTTTGCTCATAACTTCATATTTTCACAGTTAAAACAAAGTTAATGTCCAGTTTTTTTTTATTACAAATCATTTTTATGAAACATCAAAATATTTTATGGGGTAAGGGGAGATAACTCCTATATGATTAGAATTTATTTTTGTATTATTTCCCATATTCCACATGTACTGGTCAATGTTTATCACAAGGAGTCATAAGTCTGATACAATTCATGTTTTCTATGCTTTTACACTACAAATCTCAAATGTTCATATTATCCTAAGTTATTACCAAACAATTCAGCACATATACATTTTATATATCATATTGTTTGTGTTCAGGCCGACCCACTGTGCTGCAATTAAGGGGTGTGTGGATACAGTCAAGATGCTGGACAAACATACTGCCCAGCTGTGGACACCCAGCATCCGTGAGGACTGCCCCATTCATGAGGCTGCTCAAGGTGGATTCTGTGGTTAGTAGAAGCCAGCAATTTTCTTTGGAAAAATAAATATAAGAGGGATCTGATAGAAAATTTGATAGTTTCTGAAACAAAAATCTGAAAGAGTCTGATAATATGAAAATATTCAGGCTGTAGAAAATGAAGTTTCATGAACGAATAATCCACTTAAGATTTTCCATTCAAGTAATTCATCAAATAAATTCAGGAAATTTCCATAATTTAAGATTTTTCCTTTGATAGTGCCTTCCTGTGTGAAAACTTTATTTGAGGAATTTCTTTGAGTAAAAGAATATTCATGAAAATCAGGCTTTGACTATAGGGAGATTGTCATCAACCAGATAGCTCATTGGTTAATATAGTCTGTATAGAAAGTAAAGGGTCCCTGGGCTGGGGTATTCGTTAATATAGTCTGTATAGAAAGTAAAGGGTCCCTGGGCTGGGGTATTCGTTAATATAGTCTGTATAGAAAGTAAAGGGTCCCTGGGCTGGGGTATTCGTTAATATAGTCTGTATAGAAAGTAAAGGGTCCCTGGGCTGGGGTATTCGTTAATATAGTCTGTATAGAAAGTAAAGGGTCCCTGGGCTGGGGTATTCGTTAATATAGTCTGTATAGAAAGTAAAGGGTCCCTGGGCTGGGGTATTAACGAAGTAGCATAGCTCAAATCCTAGTCAGCTTGGGCATTAAAATTTTGTTCATTAACTATTACATAAAATATTATTAGTGTTAAATAATATAAGGGAAAAGTTTATGTAGTTCATAGAAAACCATACTGAATCTTTAAAATTTACCCTACAGATGTTGTGAAGTACCTGTTGAAGTGGAAGAATGATCCTAGTGCTGTGAATATACCTAATAAGGGAGGTCGTACCTGTCTACACATATCAGCCATAGTCAACAACCTTCCTCTCTGTAAACTCCTCATCGACAATGGTGCTGACAAGAATGCCGCAATGATCCACAAGGTAATTGCGTTTTCTTGTTCTTATTTATACCTACAGCTGAAGCCTCTCTTTTGGTATTGTTTTTCAATCTCCTTGTAATTGGTGGTGAGGAATTTTGTTGGAGGTGGGTGATAAATTAAACTTTTCTTTAATGATTGGTTGGTGACAGAAATGATTAATTCTCTTGCTAGCCAATTATACAGTGTACAAGCCCATCAGCTGTCCAAGCTTAGTGCTTTCTAGCATGCAGGTATTCAGAATCTGTCAAATCTGTTAAGTGGGACTAATACGACAAGGCATGTAGATTTCTGTCACTGCACAAGGCTTTTGTTCATTTACAGACTCTAAGGAGCCATGGATTTAGGATGTTTACCTTCAATTTTCTACATTATGGTGTTCTAATTGATTTCTCTGTGATGTATCACCAGTAGCGTCCTGTTGAAACAGCTGTTTTATGTGTAAGAGGATGCAACCTGTTCATCTACTGACCTAATGATATAGTAGTATCGGTTACTCCTTTGCTTAGTTCATACCATTACGTAATAAAACACCAAGACAATGTTTGATACATCCATTCAGAGCTGGTTGTATTATAACTGACCCTGTCTAATGAAGCCATTAGAGCTCATACAATAAAGTTTAGGAGCGGGTTGTTATACTGGAATCAGGTTGTCTGTCTGTAGACAGAATATTGTCTGGATAATTTCTCCTACAGTTTCCATCGGAATTTCCTTGGACTCCCATTGATGGTAGTTCCAGTCTCTGAAGATGTAACCGAATTAGTTTATATTTTTCAATTCTGCTGTTTTTATTACAGTTACAAGTAAGCTTCTTTTACAAAATTATGAGTTTATTTTTTGCTGAACATCTTTCTGACAAATTTCTCATCCAATTTTGAGAAACTCCACTAGTATTGTCACCACACTCATAAGTTGTGCACCTGTGCTTACTTTTTCATCAATGTCTTTTTATGGGAGTTATATCCCTTTTACAACATTCATAGCAAAACCTTGTAAGGATAATTACTCTACTGTTTTGATCCAATTTTATGAAATTCAACAGATATCAGTAATTCTGAAGTTGTGTATCAGTGTTAATGTTTATCCTTATATAATTATGGGGATTATGCAAAATTCTAAACACGTCAAATCTTGTTGATTCTGATAATTGTACACTGTACTTGACTTTATTTTGACTAACTTATCAGGGATCAGTGGTATTAGTTAGCCTATAGCTTACAGTTCTAATTGATGTTGCTGTTCTATCATAAGTATACATGTATTCATCATGGTATATTTCGAAGGAGGAGCAACATTCTTAGAGTGCTTACTTTGTATAGAACATGAATATAATCTACTTAATTCTGGCCTTGTATTACAAGTTTGGTGAACATTATGCCTAACCCATCTTAACCCTACCAATACAAGTTTTTACCAAAGAATCACGTTTAAGTCTGATGGTGGAATAGTTAATTTGATGTTAAAATCTTTTCCTGTATGCAAATCAAAACTGATGACATTGATTGAAGAGATGAAATCATCAATATGATTAAGTCTTGGATCCATACAGTATCATTTTTTTATTGTTTCTCTGATCACGTACTTCAATGTCAAGCATCAGCTTCTCTTGAAAAACTGCCTTGTGTGTTAGCTGATCACAGAAGGGGGCAATCAATTTGTTCCCGAGGTCTGCAGATCCTCTTAGGAACTTTGAAAATGAGATTTCCTCTTCGTCAACAATACAGGAAATCACTAAATGTAATGATTAGGAGTCACAGTGCAGAAACATCTCAAGACAGTCATTCAGTCTATACACTAGCCAATGAGAATATTACATGTATATTGAATGAACAGTAACACAACTGACAAACTGGCTCCAAGTCAGCTTGCTTGGCTGGAATCAGATTCCATGTTTAGTCAATGACATATGATTTCAGTTGGGTCACACTATAATTCAATCACCAGTCAATTCCTTGAAGGTTAACAACTAATTAACACACAATAGGCTTGAAGACCTCAGCCTAACCTACCGGTGTTAAATTGTTCAACATCTTGTACACAGAGGCAGAACAGTAATTCAGTCTAACCTACAGGTGTTGTTCAACATCTTACACACAGAGGCAGAATAGTAATTTAGCCTAACCTACAGGTGTTGTTTAACATATCTTACACACAGAGGCAGAATAGTAATTCAGTCTAACCTACAGGTGTTGTTCAACATCTTACACACAGAGGCAGAATAGTAATTCAGTCTAACCTACAGGTGTTGTTTAACATCTTACACACAGAGGCAGAGCAGTAATTCAGCCTAACCTACAGGTGTTGTTTAACATCTTACACACAGAGGCAGAGCAGTAATTCAGCCTAACCTACAGGTGTTGTTTAACATCTTACACACAGAGGCAGAGCAGTAATTCAGCCTAACCTACAGGTGTTGTTTAACATCTTACACACAGAGGCAGAGCAGTAATTCAGCCTAACCTACAGGTGTTGTTTAACATCTTACACACAGAGGCAGAGCAGTAATTCAGCCTAACCTACAGGTGTTGTTTAACATCTTACACACAGAGGCAGAGCAGTAATTCAGCCTAACCTACAGGTGTTGTTTAACATCTTACACACAGAGGCAGAGCAGTAATTCAGCCTAACCTACAGGTGTTGTTTAACATCTTACACACAGAGGCAGAGCAGTAATTCAGCCTAACCTACAGGTGTTGTTTAACATCTTACACACAGAGGCAGAGCAGTAATTCAGCCTAACCTACAGGTGTTGTTTAACATCTTACACACAGAGGCAGAGCAGTAATTCAGCCTAACCTACAGGTGTTGTTTAACATCTTACACACAGAGGCAGAGCAGTAATTCAGCCTAACCTACAGGTGTTGTTTAACATCTTACACACAGAGGCAGAGCAGTAATTCAGCCTAACCTACAGGTGTTGTTTAACATCTTACACACAGAGGCAGAGCAGTAATTCAGCCTAACCTACAGGTGTTGTTTAACATCTTACACACAGAGGCAGAGCAGTAATTCAGCCTAACCTACAGGTGTTGTTTAACATCTTACACACAGAGGCAGAGCAGTAATTCAGCCTAACCTACAGGTGTTGTTTAACATCTTACACACAGAGGCAGAGCAGTAATTCAGCCTAACCTACAGGTGTTGTTTAACATCTTACACACAGAGGCAGAGCAGTAATTCAGCCTAACCTACAGGTGTTGTTTAACATCTTACACACAGATCTAGAGGCAGAATAGTAATTCAGCCTAACCTACAGGTGTTGTTTAACATCTTACACACAGAGTCAGAGCAGTAATTCAGCCTAACCTACAGGTGTTGTTTAACATCTTACACACAGAGGCAGAGCAGTAATTCAGCCTAACCTACAGGTGTTGTTTAACATCTTACACACAGAGGCAGAGCAGTAATTCAGCCTAACCTACAGGTGTTGTTTAACATCTTACACACAGAGGCAGAGCAGTAATTCAGCCTAACCTACAGGTGTTGTTTAACATCTTACACACAGAGGCAGAGCAGTAATTCAGCCTAACCTACAGGTGTTGTTTAACATCTTACACACAGAGGCAGAGCAGTAATTCAGCCTAACCTACAGGTGTTGTTTAACATCTTACACACAGAGGCAGAGCAGTAATTCAGCCTAACCTACAGGTGTTGTTTAACATCTTACACACAGAGGCAGAGCAGTAATTCAGCCTAACCTACAGGTGTTGTTTAACATCTTACACACAGAGGCAGAGCAGTAATTCAGCCTAACCTACAGGTGTTGTTTAACATCTTACACACAGAGGCAGAGCAGTAATTCAGCCTAACCTACAGGTGTTGTTTAACATCTTACACACAGAGGCAGAGCAGTAATTCAGCCTAACCTACAGGTGTTGTTTAACATCTTACACACAGAGGCAGAGCAGTAATTCAGCCTAACCTACAGGTGTTGTTTAACATCTTACACACAGAGGCAGAGCAGTAATTCAGCCTAACCTACAGGTGTTGTTTAACATCTTACACACAGAGGCAGAGCAGTAATTCAGCCTAACCTACAGGTGTTGTTTAACATCTTACACACAGAGGCAGAGCAGTAATTCAGCCTAACCTACAGGTGTTGTTTAACATCTTACACACAGAGGCAGAGCAGTAATTCAGCCTAACCTACAGGTGTTGTTTAACATCTTACACACAGATCTAGAGGCAGAATAGTAATTCAGCCTAACCTACAGGTGTTGTTTAACATCTTACACACAGAGTCAGAGCAGTAATTCAGCCTAACCTACAGGTGTTGTTTAACATCTTACACACAGAGGCAGAGCAGTAATTCAGCCTAACCTACAGGTGTTGTTTAACATCTTACACACAGAGGCAGAGCAGTAATTCAGCCTAACCTACAGGTGTTGTTTAACATCTTACACACAGAGGCAGAGCAGTAATTCAGCCTAACCTACAGGTGTTGTTTAACATCTTACACACAGAGGCAGAGCAGTAATTCAGCCTAACCTACAGGTGTTGTTTAACATCTTACACACAGAGGCAGAGCAGTAATTCAGCCTAACCTACAGGTGTTGTTTAACATCTTACACACAGAGGCAGAGCAGTAATTCAGCCTAACCTACAGGTGTTGTTTAACATCTTACACACAGAGGCAGAGCAGTAATTCAGCCTAACCTACAGGTGTTGTTTAACATCTTACACACAGAGGCAGAGCAGTAATTCAGCCTAACCTACAGGTGTTGTTTAACATCTTACACACAGAGGCAGAGCAGTAATTCAGCCTAACCTACAGGTGTTGTTTAACATCTTACACACAGAGGCAGAGCAGTAATTCAGCCTAACCTACAGGTGTTGTTTAACATCTTACACACAGAGGCAGAGCAGTAATTCAGCCTAACCTACAGGTGTTGTTTAACATCTTACACACAGAGGCAGAGCAGTAATTCAGCCTAACCTACAGGTGTTGTTTAACATCTTACACACAGAGGCAGAGCAGTAATTCAGCCTAACCTACAGGTG